CATCCCGTTCTTGGAGGTGGAAACGACACTAACGATGTCATTATTACGGCAGCTTGTCCCCAACAATAAGTTCTGATGCAGGATATTTTATCCAAAACGACTGAAGGCAGATTTGGCGCAAAGTTCGTTCGAGGGACTTTTGGCCAACGTGCGTAGAAACTGGAAGGACGGCGATTTTATCACCAATTTGCGAGTAGACAGGGGTACGTTTCTTGTTATTGTTGAAAAACTGACCCCTTATATTCACCGAGATACGACAAGAATGAGGCAGTCCATTGATGTCGATGAAAGAGTTGCTATGGAGTTATGGCGCTATGGAGCATGTGCAGTAAGCTCTTGGTACCCAACCTCGCCCGTGTCGGCTGCTAAATCCGTATTTGAGCGCCAGTGTGTAGAATCCTTTATCGGACTTATTTAGTTGTCGATAACTTTTAGTGGTCGATTACAAATGGCTGTCGACAACTAAAATCCCTAGTCTGTGGAGGGCCTAAGAGAGTAAATGGATGCATTACATAATCCTAAGTTAATTATTTTCAAGGCTTTCATGACAAGGTGGCGATGGACAAGCACGCTAGTGTCTATTATAGAAACCGGCGCTATGGCCACAAATCACAGACAATGTACTTACAAACCAACTTAAGGTTTTACTTTAGTTTTAAAAGTTTTTTCGGAGAGTGTGACGATTGGTTGCGCGACTAAACGGAAACTCGTTACGATTTCCTGGTACACGAAGATCTACTTCGAGCGAGCATATACGGACTTCAAGGATGAGACAGCGTTTTGGTTCCAGAGTAAACTTCATTCGTAGAGCACTCTGACATACATCATGTTAGAGTCAAATCTAAACTTTTAATCATCAGGCCCCAGTTGTTCAAAGGGAGGATAACGCTATCCAACGGATAAACCGCTCTCCAGCGGATAAGTGTTACCAAAACGTACTGTGCTATCCACAGGATAGTGATTTTTCCAACCGGGGCCAGAGCTGTACAATGTAGTTGCTTATGAAATAGTTGGTGTGAGGTGCTATTGTTATCTAAATCGACCATTACTGTGACATTGTTTGGGGTAGCTGTGGGAAAACGCTACGAGACAAACTGCAGAAATTGCAGAATAGAGCAGCCCGTGTGTTGACATTCTCTAACTATGATGCTGATGCAACTGAGCTACTCGAGTTTTTAGGGTGGAAAAATCTTGCACGCCAGCAGGAAATCCATAAAGCCACCATGATGTTTAGATGTCTGCACGGGCTAGCTCCAAGGTATCTATATTCAAAGTTTACGTGGCGTGACTCTGCTTATGACCTCAGGGACTCTGAAAATAAGCTTAATGTTCCACTACCGCGCACTAATTATTACAGAAAAAGCTTTAGCTACAATGGCGCCACATTATGGAACAGTTTACCACGCGATATAAGGAACACAGAGTCTCTGGGGTTATTTAAACGTAAGATCAATGACATTNAATAAGTTCAAAAAGAGCAACGCATGTTCCCACCAATAACGTAGCTCCATTTAACGCCTTTAAAAGCACACACAACCCATAATTCCTCTATTCGTTCCGACGAAGGGCTAACACTCGAAACGTCAGCTTTTGTAATCGTTACGGTGGCCAATTCATCACTTCAACTTTGTCGATATATCCAAATTAAAACAAAAAAAAATATCGTTGAAGCCAGAACAGGCTCTGACCTGCATGACTTGATTTCCCCCCGTTGCATTTATCCTACTCAAGATTTTGCGCGTTAGCAATTTCCCTAATTTTAGAATTTCGCATTCTTCCGATCTTGTATTCGTAGAGAAATTAGATTTTTTCAGCTAATGTAAAGTAGTGTTGCCAGCTCGCATAATGAAGGAAACTGTTTTCCACTTACCAAGATCTTCACCAACATCTATAAGGTCAGGAGTTCTTAGGTGCTGTTGTTTTATAGCCTTCCTCCCTATTAAGTCTTCAAAGATAAACGCAGTAAAAAAGGTATCCTCCAGTTTTTGACTCTCTGAAGAATTTGTGCAGCGGGACCATATACTTTGGATTGAGGAAGTTCATTGGTTTTTCGCATCCTTGATGAAAAGTGGTAAAATTAAGTAGATTAGAAGCTAACTCCAGTTACTCAATTGTTGCTTAATTAAAAGATAAATAGATATAATAACTGGAGTTCGGAGTTCGGGTTTATGGATGTTTCCGTTTGTTGAATTTCAGGAATATTGACATGTTCTGAATACTAGATACGATTGCTATTCAGGACGTTGACTAGATGAAGTAACAGACTAAATATAGCGTTTTCTAATTCATCTTACGGTATCCCCTCACTGTTGTGTTTGTAACCAACCCATTACTAAGCAGTGGAAAAAAAAAACTATAAGTGATGGTCTTATACATTATAATATCTATAAATATTGCATAGTATTTATAATTATTAGTATATTTTTATCATATACCTGTAGCTCCAAATCTTCATGACTTATGATAGTAACAGTAATAATAATAATAATAATAATAATAATTATTATAATAATAATGATAACAACAACAAAAATATCAAAACAAAAACAACAAAAACTCTTCAACAAATTTTACTTGAGAGAAAACAATGTAATTTAAGCTACATCCCAGTTTTTATCATCTACCTCTAAGTTGTCCATTTTCTCCGTTGAATTGGTAATTTCTTCCTTTGACAAAAAGAAAATGGCTTGCATTTTTATGGTTACGCGTCATAGAACCCTTAATATACATTCCATCGCCCGGGCAACAGAGTAAAACTTATTCAGAAATCAGGAGTCTTATAGACGACTACCTGCCAATTATCTTACCGAAGTGTTATCAGTTGGTTGGCCTGGAGGATATCCATATGCATCTGAAAAAAGAGTAAAATTCCATTTTTTTTGATAAAACTTTTGGCGTTAAATGTTATTTTGACAGGAAAATGTTCTACAATGAAAGAAA